CATACATTTTATTTCCCCTACAACCAAATCCATGGCCAATCTGATGGTGCTTTAAAGATACATCCTCATTGTGATTTAACGAATGTCATTACCTTGTTTCGTTTTTTTTCTATGTTAAACTGTTTTACCCTTTGCAATTTATTGTTCAAGAAATAATAGAAAATAGCTCACTGAGCTGTAGATAAGTATAATAGGATGGTGTAGATCAAACGATGGAGGAGTTATCTTTGAAGTTCGGGAAGGGTATTGGCCCAATTTTGATATTTGTGAAATGTCAATTATAGTAAATAATGTTTTTCTAATCATTATTTAGAATAAAAAGTTTGACATGAGTTAACCCACTAACCACATGGTGTATGTCATTATTTCATACAGTTATTGAAGCTAGGGCATAATGATATACTCTACTTTTCTGATAGGTGCCTACTTCAAAGTCATCCCGAACCCAACAGAATGACAAAAATTGCATTAAAATATATAACTGCCTTAATGTTACATCCACGAGTTCCTGCGTGGTCCTGTCATTATGTTTTGACTCTCTGTTACAGACAGCAATACCTGCCACGTATAAATATTGTATAATTTGTAGTCTATAATATATCATCACATAGTTCAGATAAATTAGACTCTTAAGCTCACAAATTTAAGATATATCAAGAAATTTGAAATTCTCTAACAAGATAGCATATGTGGCCACGTGGTAGTTTTTCTTTATTATTACAGATGTTAATTTCCATGTAATAATACATGGGGTTAGAATAAATACATACCTTAATTCCCTCAGCTGTTTGATCGGTCTTTATATGGGACAAATTCCAAACAAGTCACCACAAATTGACTTGATTAGGTTAATCGACTTCAAATACTTGACCTTTTCTGATTCTATGAGATTTTGTTTAATGTAGGTAGAACAACCCTACACGGGTCACTGACATGTGACTTGACAAGTTTTATTCAGAAACACCAAAACGTCTCACTATTTCTATATATGTCTAAAATTTGTGGCCTCTATTCAATGGTTTACCAATGCGTCCCTTCCTGAAACAACAGATCTCACTTCGTTCACAGGACGATACCTGTTAAAACTGTTATGGTTCGATCTCATATTTAGTATTTAGTTGTTTCACAGACTTAACCACGAAGTGGTCAACTACGAAATGCATGTTCCTATGTTAGAAAATCGCATTGAGATGTTGTTAATAATATGTGCTATATTATGAATAGAATGATATGTAAGGAACGACAATAGAAGCATGTTAAACATGTTTTGGTAAGGTATATTTCTATGTATATAACAATATAAGTATAAAGGTATTATATATTTATTTAGTCTCGCTCTATCACCTGTATAAACTGTCTATATCAACTGAAATCCTCTAACTATATAACATTCAATAGAGGAGACTTAATGAATGAAAATATTCCACACCTACACTTCATACCTCAATGTACTTTCATGAATGACTGAAACAATGGAACACACAATGGAAGTTTATACAATTATATATTTTATAAATGCTCCTTCTTTGTGTATATTTATGGCAGTTTGAGCCTTAAAAAGACACTTTTTATGGTAATTTTATATAAGTTGAGGTTGATATGATCCTATTCTATTCCTTTATTTGACGTAGACATGTAATTTTATGCTATTAAGGTAAAATTTCAAGTTATTACAGCATGAAATGAAAATTATATCTTATTCTACAATTGATCTGATAAAGTGGGACTTTATTCAATTTTTAAACATCAAATAAGACAGGGTAACATTCCTATCTAGGTCATGTACAGAACAGATTTTAACGCCTCAGGCTTTTTTAAGATAATTTTTGTTAAAAACAATACTAATGTGACAAAGAAATGTATAAAATGCAATTATGAACATCTGTGTTTTAATTAATATCAAGAGTTGGCTTTTATATTTGATGACTTGAACGATAGCTCTGTCTGATCACCATCTGGAATACTGGAAATTCAAGTGTGCACTTTAACTGTTTCCAATATGTTTCACCATATATAATGGTATTCGGTTCTTGATTTTTTAATTTAACTCGAAAGTAAAGAAGCAAATAAAATATGATCATCATATTATGAAAGTTGACAGTGGAGGGAGTACCAAAATTATTTGCTTTCTCCTTTCGAGATAACTTACAAAACATATCTCCTCAGTGTTGTTTGGTCTCTTTAAATCTCCTATTATGGAAGATTCTGGTTAAACTTTTTATTAGCCTATCGCGGTGCTTCAATTTTGGCACATTGAAACCATCTGGATATCTAGATAGAAGTATAGGTATTCAATTATCTATATCTAATTGCTTCTAATTAAACTAAAGTAATTGCTGATGGAATATCTATACGTGCAGGGTGGCGTCTTGCAAATGAATTTTCTGCATATCAAATTCTAATTTCATCATAATATAATAAAAAGTATATACAATTTCTTATCTGTAAGTACATAAAAGTCATTGATAATATTCGGTTAAAACTGTACACGTTTTATAAATGTCTGTGTACCTTACTTTTATTACCTGTAAATAATTAGTAGATCAATATCTGTTCATTCCTTAAATAATGTAATGTCAATATGTCAACGACTGTACAATCATTGCATGGGTAATGTGGATGGACCTGTTCAAAACGATAACGGAATAAAAGGAAATCGGTACCGGCGTTTAATCCTTGATATACCTAGTGGAAAAGTAAATCAGTTATTCAAATCTGTACGCGTATTTGGTCCTTGATATACCTAGTGGAAGAATAAATCAGACCAGACCTGTACCCGCGTTTGATCCTTGATATACCTAGTGGAACAATAAATCAGACCTGTACCCGCGTTTGATCCTTGATATACCTAGCGGAACAATGAATCAGACCTGTACCCGCGTTTGATCCTTGATATACCTAGTGGAACAATAAATCAGATCTGTACCCGCGTTTGATCCTTGATATACCTAGTAGAACAATAAATCAGAGCTGTACCCGCGTTTGATCCTTGATATACCTAGTGGAACAATAAATCAGACCTGTACCCGCGTTTGATCCTTGATATACCTAGTGGAACAATAAATCAGACCTGTACCCGCGTTTGATCCTTGATATACCTAGTGGAACAATAAATCAGACCTGTACCCGCGTTTGATCCTTGATATACCTAGTGGAACAATAAATCAGATCTGTACCCGCGTTTGATCCTTGATATACCTAGTGGAACAATAAATCAGACCTGTACCCGCGTTTGATCCTTGATATACCTAGTGGAACAATAAATCAGACCTGTACCCGCGTTTGATCCTTGATATACCTAGTGGAACAATAAATCAGACCTGTACCCGCGTTTGATCCTTTATATACCTAGTGGAACAATAAATCAGACCTGTACCCGCGTTTGATCCTTGATATACCTAGTGGAACAATAAATCAGACCTGTACCCGCGTTTGATCCTTGATATACCTAGTGGAACAATAAATCAGACCTGTACCCGCGTTTGATCCTTGATATACCTAGTGGAACAATAAATCAGACCAGTACCCGCGTTTGATCCTTGATATACCTAGTGGAACAATAAATCAGACCAGTACCCGCATTTGATCCTTGATATACCTAGTGGAACAATAAATCAGAGCTGTACCCGCGTTTGATCCTTGATATACATACCTAGTGGACGAATAGATCACATCTGTACCCGTGTTTGATCCTTTATATATCTAGTGAAAAAGTAATTCTAATCTGTACCCGAGTTTTGTCCTTGATAGACCTAGTGGAAGAATAGATCAAATCTGTACCCGGGTTTGGTTTAGTCCTTGATATACCTAGTGGAAGAATAAATCAGACCAGACCTGTACCTGCGTTTGATCCTTGATATACCTAGTGGAACAATAAATCAGAGCTGTACCCGCGTTTGATCCTTGATGTACCTAGTGGAAGAATAGATCAAATCTGTAACCTAGTGGAAGAATAGGTCAAATCTGTAACCTAGTGGAAAAATAGGTCAAATCTGTAACCTGGTGGAAGAATAGAACAAATCTGTATCCGAGTTTGATATAACTAGTTGAAGAATAGATCAAATCTATACCCATGTTTGGTCCTTGATATACCTAGTGGAAGATTAAATCAAATCTGTACCCGCGTTGGTTTCTTGATATACTTAGTGGAAAAGTAAATAAAATCTGTACCCATGTTAGATCCTTGATATACCTAGTGGAAGGGTAAATCAAATCTGTACCCGCGTTGGTTTCTTGATATACTTAGTGGAAAAGTAAATAAAATCTGTACCCAAGTTAGATCCTTGATATACCTAATCCCAAGTTAGATCCTTGATATACCTAGTGGAAGAGTAAATCAAATTAATCAAATCTGTACCCGCGTTGGTTTGTTGATATACCAAGTGGAAGAGTAAATCGTGTTTGTTACTCAACCAGTAAATCAAATATGTTTTTAATTGATATAGCAAATCAAATCTGCCTATCGCGTTTGTTCCTGAATATTTATGAAGTGGATAGGGCCAATAAGTCCAATATATTGGAAAGTGAAAATCTTTTCACCTGTCAACTAGATTTCTGATTGTAAATTCAGTTCATTTTTCACCTATTTGTTTGATAAAGAATGTTTGTAAGAATCGTAAGTGTCACTGTAAGCAGACACCAGTAGATAATCTTTAAATTGTATCCACAACCTTTAAGGTGAGACGTATATAAAATATAAAACAACAGAAAGTCTGTTTGTAGTTATGATATAGATAATAAAACACAATACAACATTATGTCGGTATATTTTTATGAAATATCCTTGAATACCTTATCATTCAGTCAAGGTAATCACACCGTGACGACGTGGAAAGATAGTAAGCTGTTTCACTTGAAATTAATGTTAAGAGCGTCGTTCAAAGGCACAAAATGCCTAACTTTTTGAAACACAATAGGTTACTGCTCATTGTGTGAGCTCGTTTGGAATTTTAGTTGTATGATTGAAAGTAAAAGTAATTTATTAATCCTAAATAACCTACCTTCTTTCATATCCTACACACCAGTTATGGGTATATCCACAATTTGGTTTCCATACTTTGACTAATCTTGTAAAAGCTTGAACACAAGGCTGTTTCATTAATACCATTGCTACATCTTGATATGGACAAACATTTGGCCTGAAAGAAGACAAAAATTATGGTGAAAACACAAAATACAGATTTATGAGCAACCACAAACCAAAACCATTGGAAGCCTTCTTAAATTTCATATAAATTCTGGAAAAAAAATTAAAAAGGACGAAAGATCCATATATTACATTCAAATGATATTTTATGATTTCAGAATCATAATTTTGAACCCAATACAGTACGAAAAAGAAAAGTAATTCACCATAAATAAATAAAGTTAAGGATTGTATATCATTTTTACATGAGGTATGTTTAGATAGCCTACATTAACATGTTAATTGTTAAACCGTCTTCAAAAACCATCATCATGATAGCAAATAAGATCTGCATATATACAAAAATATAAATATATATATAACAATAAGGTGCTTAACGTATGATGTAGATTAAAGACTTAGTGTGTTTAAGTTCAGATCTAATCTAAAAAGTGTCGGTATCTTACTGCAAGATGCAAGAGTAGCAAGAGAGCCAGAATCTCAAATTAATTGATTGAAATCTAATCTGTTGAGGCAAGCTAACTATATTTTGGACTTGAATTTCGATGTAGGCGTTGTCTCGGCAAGAATGTTATCACAATGGTGTAAATTAAAAAATTTTAGTTGATTTTTGTCCAGTAAAATATTTATGGAAACATAATCTAATGAATATATTTATGGCATATCTATTAACGAATCAAAGTTAACTCTTGATGTATGATGCAGGCGGTAATTATTAAAATAATTGGGCATGGTTCCAACCCCTGCCTGAATATTGGCCAATATAACCGACATTATTAACCATATTCCTCTGAATTATAATTAAAATTCAAATGTTATCGCCTTCGTTAACACTCAGTGTTAGTGTTGACACTCATACTAATGTTTCGTTAATCATGTCACGATGCTTGGTGTAAGTACCATGAAGATGTGTTATATTTCTGTAATGCCTCATTGCAGAAAATGCTCTTGTTGAAGTGTCATTGCTTTAACACTTACATGTGGCAGTTAAAACACCTATTATATCTTCACCCCAATCATCTTTGAAATTTCACAAATATAACACACATATTAGCATTTCCATTTAAATTTAATTTACGGTTTTCGAGTTTGATGACCAATAAGATCTTTAAGTCTTTTCTCCTGGTAAAATGATTTAACCAAATGACCATTTAACAAGAAATAAATTACTGGTCATTACTAACTGACTAACCGAACGTTTGACATTGTCAATCATGCAAATGGGATACTCTTTGGTTCATGTATACAAGTTCGTGTTGAACTAATATTTCTGCGGCCTTTTCCTACCCCTCATCGAGCACTATTCTAATATACGTTTTCAGCTCGGATGTTGAAATGACCATAAAAAAAGTGTAGGCCTAGTTCAAGTAGTATTGAAATTTACTGACAAAATTAGATTCATTCATTTTGTTTAGGAAACGTTAAGGAAACTTTTTCTATATATATCTTGTAAGTAATCCAAGAAATGTGTAAAACATGACATGTTATATTTCAGCAGTATGAAAGATAAGACGAGACGATACGTGGGAGGTTTTTTATATCAACTGCACACCTAACAGTCTGCTTTCAGATATTTTAAAATGTTTCACAGATAATAAACTTAAAGATATAGGTTTGACAAATTAACATTACGATCATCTCAACATAATTTATAGTCTAAATTTATCTTTTAACCCCAATTACATTTAAAACATCAATATTCTTCATTCATCAGACGAAATGCTACGGATGCTTCCTGTTTTGAAATATTTCATTGCCTAATTTTCATGATGACTAATTCAACAGAACAAACTGAATGCCATTTTAGGAGTTGAGGTATCTCAAAAGTGGAAATTTAGATGCTTTAAACCGATTCATGTTATGAATTAATTATATGCAACTTTATGATCTAAGTAATAACGGATGAATTCATTATTCAAATATGCAACGTCATCTCAGAAGATATTTGATAATGGGAAGAATCTTTAGCTTTTACTTTCTGGTTTTAATGATTGTAAGCTTATATTCAAATATTACTTGCTGGACCAAACTCACAAACCAGATCACCATGCCCATGAACTGTTCTCACCTCACTTCAAAATATTGACAATGTGTCGAGGGTTTTAAGCTATATCATATAATGATCAAACGAGAAGTAAACACTCAAGTTTTTATATTCGGAAGGGTTGTAGGGTTTAGATATTGAGTAAAGAGACTTTTTCAATATGACCTTCACTTTTAATTTATTTTTTTAGCATGTCTTTATCTTTGTGCTACATGAATGTAGTATATTAGGTGAAATAACCTTGCCTATTTACATATAACATATTTCAGCGCATAGGTCGATAAGATTACCAAGTTAGTAGCTATAGATCTAAGGTTATGTTTCGCCAGTTACCAACATTAGCGAAAATGGATTACTGTAGTTTCAGTTTTGTAGAAGCGCATAAACCACTGAACTTGACTTTAAATACTTATATTCAACCCAAATTCAACTCAAGCTTGACATATATCTATATCAGTACAAGTTGGCCAATGAATCTTATTAGCATATATATTTATATATGTTGAAGTTGAAATTGCATATAAAAATAAACATAGTTAATAACCTGCACTCAAGCTTTGATATGAAAATAAACTAAGTAGATGGTTACCTGTCAATTAGGTAAACTAGATAAATACTTAAGATCATTAATTAATATCTACCATTTCCATTAAATATTTTGAAGAGTGCATAAATGTTAAGAGTAGGAAAACATCCGAAGGTTATGTATCAGGGATAGGTGCGCCACTTTGGGGGTTGTTTTTATACGCCCACACATTAATGTGGCCCCTGTCTGTCTGTCTGTCTGTCTGTCTGTCTATCTGTCCGTCTGTCTGTAGAGAGCTGGTTTCTTGATGGATTTTGATGAAACTTGGTGTGAGTGTTTGTAATCACCCAAGAATGAACCTTATTGGAAATTAGACGAATCGAAAAATATTTACTAGAAGTTATTGCCCTTGTTCTTGAATTGTTTGTGGACACGATAGAGAGCTGGTTTCTTGATGGTTTTTGACGAAACTTGGTGTGAGTGTTTGTAATCACCCAAGGATAAACCCCATATAGCCGTCGCCCCTGTCTATCTGCCTGTCCGTCTGTCTGTCTGTCTGTCTGTCCGTAAATATAATTATAACTGTCTTAACACAAAGATTTGACACTTGCTGCCACTCAAAAGATTCACTTCTATATGGATGAAATGAAACTAGACATGTTAAATTAATCTCACTTGAATAAGCTGTAAACAAAACCCATGAAATATGAAAATTTCACTCTCAGACACATTCATTTACTGATAACTCTTGTCAACCTCCCGGACACATTAGCTTCCATTACAAATGGCATCGCTATTTTTAGTTTTGCATATGTGTAAATAGTCTTCAGAAGTACTAGAAAGGAACGAAAATCGCATAATTTCTTTCTACATATCACAGAGCATCTAAAATTGACTGTACTTTAACATTCAAACGATAATTCTTGACACACATGAATTTGAAGGCTCAAATTTCGATGGTGAACCGTGATCACTATTGCTGATTGGCTTAGCTAAAAAAAATCATTCGATCATTCGATCTACCGTATAAACCCGAAACAAGATGAAGGATTTTACAAACTTAATTTTACACATCAACTGAACCCTTGATGATAAAAAGTTGGCATTTACATAATAGGCCATATGTAGGGTTAATTACTAGAATGCCTTCAAGGTGAAGTTAAAATTATGCAAAGTTATCTTTTCTTTTAGACATCTCAACTTCTTCACTCACACGACGGACTTTTTATTAACCACGTGTTGAAGCGAATGAAGTTTCTTTGTTGTGTAATAAGGACGAACGATCTGTCTTCGCGTCAACATCATTAAGCATTGAAGAGTGTAAATTACTCCAAAATTCTATCGAATTAAATATTTGAGGGTAGCCTGGGGTAGTAAGTTCTGAGGCAAAGCATATGGCATTGATAATTAGAGTCGTAAAGGCAGAGTCAGTTGTCTCCGTTTTTATGCCGGGATTCACCTCACAGAATGAGTATAGTTTAGAAGTTCATTCATGTTCAATCCTACCATATAACTATAGGGTTTTTTCCTATGAGGTAAAAATGAAATATTCAGTCTCCGATATCAGTTAGCTGAAAGCGGATGTTTAATTTTCTGGATTTTGTTTTACCACCACTTGTATTCCTGCTCATATTCCAGCAAATTCGAATAAGCAAGAAAATCATAAATTTCGTCCAGAGAATGACCAAAGCGGGAGTATATAGTAGAAGAATGTTCTGCTTCCTGCGCGACACCAGCCACTATTATAATGGTCAAAATCATGAGATGCAACCCGATCAATTCATGCCTGACCAAACAAATCGGCCGAAATGGTATTGACTCCATAGAAAACGAAAATAGCATTATTACTTATTTTTCATATGTACCAGAAATGCCTGTGTTCCACAAAGAAATTCCTTGATCAGGTTTGAATATATGAAGAGTATTATAACACTAAGTGATTATTGAACAAGGGCGTTGAACATTATGAAGATTTGTAATAAGTTAATTTAAATTTTGGCAACTCGCTGTTTCAACCATAATAACTAGTCCAATCTATAACTACGGGATACTTCAAGATATAAGATGAAAGAGAAGTGTTCTAGTAGGACAAGCATCCTGTGGTTTAACAATTATATTAGTTATTTATATCGAATATAAGAATCAAGATAAGAATTTTCTGTTGTAATGTTAATTAAATTAGCCAGTTTAAATATGTACAGGTATTTTGTTAGCTTATTTTATCTTGTTGGAATACATTCCTCATAATTTCGTGTGTGATATTTTGGCTGTCGGTGGATTTTCGAACCATCTTTAATGTATATATGGACACTGAACATTTTATACACTGTTGTCGGTTCAGCAAGTGAATATGACTATCATATATTGTACTTTGAGTTCCTGTACCAGTGGCATTTCGTTGTGCCATATAATTATATCGGGACGCAAATTCAATTGTTTGTTCTAAATATTCACACCATCGAGTGGTCTTTGTGAAGTCTTGTTTATCAGCAACACACCTCTTTCGTTCGCTTCGGTTCATTGATAAAAATTGCCATATCACCTACAACTATAACAGACTAACCGGGTCACAAGATATCGTAAAGGGGAAAGTCTATGCCATATATAACATCACCTTGGTGCATACTGATAAATAAAGATTTAATGAAGTGTAGAATTTCAAGTTTCGTGAGAATAATCAAATCTATTCGAATGGACTTAAAATACATATTGAAAGCAACTTAGTACATAATAATATAATGAGTCAACAATTACTATTTATTCCAGTACTTCAACTATAAAACTCAGAACCGTCGTAAACAAGCCCTTTCGTTCTCTGAATGCTGCAAACATTCCGACCTAATGCAGACGAGTTTACAAAAACTGATCCATTTTTTTAATTCATGTATAGACTTTGTAATTGTAATGTTTAAATTTCGCAAATTAAATATTATTTAAATCAAACCTATATATGCGTCTGATTACACCTGCAATTCTCATTTTAATTGTGAATCCTACCATGAATCGGAGGGTCGATTATATGTTATGATATTGCGTATAATAAAGGACTACAGTGAGATTAGTTTAAGAGACCGTGGTTTATGAAAAGCATATAAAATACCAAGAATTTCTTTGTAATTGAAATATAGGTCTGTAGTGTTAAGATGTCAATCGAGATAAGGAATAATTGGTCTATGTCGAACTATTTTAGTTATGTTTCTATGTTAATTTGATGTCAGATAGAAATCACACAATCACCTAACAAATTAGCTAAGATTTTTACTCAATGAACAGCTGAACTTGTCTGAAACAATAAACAGTTGTTGCTATCATCCTGACTGCTCATACTCTTGTTTGTGCTTTTAACAAGATTCCTTGCTAATTTGTTGACCTCGGTGATTCCTGTTTTGCTTATGTCTATGTCTCTGAAGAAAGATGCAATCCCTATGTCTCAGACCAAAGTCTGACCAAAAATACCATAAAAAGATAAAGGTTTTCATGAAAATCAATTTTAGAGGAATTACTTGTACTTGTAATATTATTAACAACAACATGGTGCTTTGACTGGTCAGCTGGTGGTGGTACCCACTTCAGCAATGCTATTAGATACAACATCAGTCCAAATTGCAGACTAGTCAGTTGCCCATAAATCACCCA